TGGCCCTGATGGATTCACAGGGGCTTTTTATCATAAATGCTGGGACATAATTGAAGCTGATGTGGTTGACATGGTGAAAGCTTTCTTCTGTGGTCAGCAGCTTCCTAAGAGTGTGACTCACACCAATTTGGTATTATTACCAAAAAAGAAGGAGGTTCAGACTTTTGCAGATATGAGACCTATCAGTCTCAGCAATTTTGTGAACAAGATTTTTTCCAGAGTGATTCATGAGAGACTGGTTGAAATGTTACCTAATTTGATCTCAGAGGAACAGACAGGTTTTGTGAAGGGAAGAAGTATAATAGAGAATGTTCTTCTAACTCAAGAAATCATCACTGATATAAGGCTTAGAACTAAGGCAGGTCCAAATGTGGTCATTAAGCTTGACATGGCAAAAGCATATGATAGATTATCATGGCTTTTCTTGACCAAAATGCTGAGGCAACTGGGTTTCTCTGAAGCTTTTATTGGTTTGATCTTTGATTTAGTTAGAAACAATTAGTATTCTATCCTTATTAATGGTCAACCAAAAGGTTTTTTCAATTCTACAAGGGGAGTTAAACAAGGTGATCCTTTGTCACCTACATTGTTCATTCTAGCTGCTGAAGCACTATCAAGAGGTCTGAATTCTCTACACTCTAATTTATACTTCTGTGGATTTGGATTACCAAAGTGGAGCCCAAAAATAAATCACCTATCCTATGCTGATGACACTATAATTTTCTGCTCCTCTGATGATACTTCCTTGAGGCTTGTTATGGAAATTTTGCATGCATATGAGGCAGCTTCTGGGCAATTAGTAAATAAGGCAAAATCTGCCATATACATGCATCATTTAACAGATTCTGAAGTGATTAGTAAGGTGGAAAGGATCACAGGTATAGGAAAGCAAGATTTCCCCTTCACCTACTTAGGCTGTCCAATCTTTTATGCAAGAAGGAGAATGGATTATTATGAAGGTTTGATCACTAAGGTCATGGATAAACTACAATCTTGGAAAGGCAAACTTCTTTCAATAGGTGGTAGGGCTGTACTAATTAACAATGTGCTTCAGAGTATGCCTGTTCATCTCTTGTCAGCAGTGAATCCTCCAAATTATGTCATCAACAGATTGCACAAAATTTTTGCAAGATTCTTTTGGAGTAGCAATGTGGGGGGAAATTCTAGGCACTGGGCTTCATGGACTAACCTTTGTATGCCTTATGAGGAAGGAGGTATAGATTTCAGATCTCTGCATGATGTTTCAAAGGCTTTATTTTGTAAATTATGGTGGAACTTCAGGACAAAGCCTAGTCTGTGGAGCTCCTTCATGAGTCAGAAGTACTGTAAAAAGCTTAATGCAGTCATAGTACCATGGAGAGAAGGGTCACATGTGTGGAGAAAGATGTTGGAATGCAGGGACTTGATTGAACACCAAATATACTGGAAGCTAAGGATGGGATCTGCCTTATTCTGGTATGATAACTGGATTGAGTTGGGAGCATTATACTTTCAACTTCCTCCAAATTTTGCTATAGATGAGGATATTCAGAATGTTAATGATCTGGTACAAGATGGAAGATGGAATGTGGAGAGAATTCATGAGATCTTACCAGCAGATTTAGCACAACATATAGTACAAAACATTAAGCCACCAATGGAACACAATGAATTAGACAAACCATTCTGGATGCTTGAAACAAGAGGTAACTTTTCAGTTAAGTCTGCATGGGAATACTTGAGAAGAAGAAATAATCCTAGCATTGCCTATAAGAAGATTTGGGTAAAAGGGTTGCCTTTCAAGATTTCCTTCTTTATGTGGAAGGTGTGGAAAGCCAAACTACCTTTAGATGACTTTATGAGAAGACTAGGATATTTCATGCCATCTAAATGTTGGTGTTGTGCTGAGCCTAAGGAGGAGTCACTGGTTCACTTATTCTATTCATCTAATGCAGCTAGAATTGTATGGAGATATTTTCTCAGGAGGGCAGGAATTGCAGTGGAAGGCATATCTTTACATCAGGCAATCACAAAATGTTGGATGGCTAAAGTAATTCCTAGATTGAAGGCAATAATGCAAGCTTTGCCAGCATGTATTGTTTGGGAGCTATGGAAGAGGAGAAACTCATTGAAATATGGGACTGCTGTGTTAGTAAGCAGGGTAATCTATCAAGTCTCATCTACTTTGCAGAATTTGGTGCAATCAAGAAAGCCAGGTTTACAGGTCCCACACAACTGGTCAGAACTATTACAAATGCTGGAGCAATATACACCAACACTAAAGCATGAGAAGGTGATATGGGAATTTCCACAAGTTGGTTGGATAAAGGCTAACACTGATGGAGCATGTAGAGGTAATCCTGGGAGAAGCTCTATAGGTTTTTGTTTGAGAGATGAAGCAGGAGAATTAAAATATGCACAGGGGAAAGAGATCAGAGAGGGTACAAATACTGAAGCTGAGGCAGCAGCAATTTTGGAGGCTTTGAGAATGTGTAGAGCCATGAATTTCAGTCAGATTTGGTTGCAGACTGATTCCTTACTATTGAATAACATAATTGAGGGATTATGGAAGCCCCCCTGGTGTATTGTTGACCAGATAGAGGAAATATTGAGATTAAAAGGGGAGTTTAATTTCAGAATATCACATACATTCAGGGAAGGTAATCAGTTAGCAGATCATCTAGCAAATTATGCTTTGGATGAGGGAGACATGGAATGTTATGGATTTTGGGACCTGGATATTCAAGGTAGAAGGTTGGTGAATGTAGATAAGATGCAATGCCCTGTTCTGAGAGTAAGAGTTGTAAGAAATTAGCAGAAGAAAAGGAGGCTGGGGGAGAACTAGAAACAGGAGTTACTTATGGCATCACTCATACTCAAATCTGTATAGAGGAGAGTATGAGGGAACCTTTTATTACTAATCTGGTTTTCTTTTTTGCAGGTACATTTATACTATCTATATTCTATATTTTAATGAAACTTAAGATGGTGGTATTAGTACTTAGTACTCACTCCATCTGGGTAGATTTAAATATAGAATATAGTATAGTAGCAAGGTTATTCATAGAGGGTGTGGCAGAATCATGGGAAGTGTTGTCCTGGTGGGCATTCCAACTCTCACAAAGGATAACACTTAGTCACACCCAGAAGAAGGAAGAGAACAAGCAATTCAAAAAACAAGTGCATACATAGGAGTACACAGACACACAGATTGCAGACATTGGATTTCCAAAGCATGGGAAGTCAGATGGATGATGCATCTGTAGCAGAGGAAACCAATTCATATGGAAAATTTCATGGAAATACATACAGAGAGTCAGGCAAGGTCCAAATCCTTTGGGAGGAGGACATGAGGATCAGAGAATATTCAAGGACCCATATGAAAGCTCAATTAGCCTGTTGTTATGCAGGTATTTGGACTTTGCTATTGTTCTATGGTGTAATGGAGGTTCATTTGGTGGTATTAATGCTATGCATTCAATCCAATGGATTTAAATTACATCTAAACAATAGCACAAGGACAAATTTTGCATTTCAGCAACAGCAGCAGACACAAAGAAAAATCAACAAATCCTATCAAGATATAAATATGTATAATATGTTAATAGAAAACCAAGCATATAAGTGGTGTTTAACAGTCATAGCAAACATATCTATAATCTATGGTTTAAGGCGGCTTCAGGTGGTGGTATTAGTACTATGTACTCAATCCACCGGAGTTGAATTAAACCTAGACTATAGAGTGGTTGCAAAGAAGATCAATTGCAAGATATCGTACAAGATTGCAGGATTCTATTTTTGTACAAACATGACAGTACTGTCAGACATAAAAAAAAACAAGCATGCACAGCGTTTGGGGCTTTTATTTGCACAGTTTGCAGACAGCAAAATCATCAATTTTAGTGATTTTAACTGGATGATGCAAAAGGATACGGAAATAGATAAGTACAAGGGGTACAGTAATGAAATACATCCAGGTTTTTCTATTACACCAATCTATAAGGGAGGGGAGAGTACAAACTCGATTGAAGCTCTCACAGGCAATTCCACTGAGGTACAGCAGGGTGTGGTCGACGGTGTCACTGAAGCTTGGCAACATAGAGTCTTCAGAGCAGCTGCAGCTAAACAGGAGTTTCGTGAGGTCCATCTTCGTTTCTCCAAAATGATGCACAATGATCCAGGTACATACAAGCAGATTCAAATAAGAAATGGAGTTAGTCGAGTTGATTTGAACAAAAATGAAGAAGACAGTAGAGAGAAGGAAGAGAGAGGAAGTCGATATTACCTAGGTCGGCTAATTGTGGAAATGAACGGACAAATAGATACAGATGGGAAGCTTTGTGTAATAAAGAGGTGTATAGTGGGATACACGCGTGCATTAGGAAAGTTGAGAGTGCAGAGGTTATATTTACAAATACAGGGAGAGCGAATTTGGGATTATTGGTGGCTATTTATGCAAACCGGTGATACTGATGGTCTGGGCTTTGGACAATTACAGGCGGATGGAAAATTGGGCCTGCATATGAAACGGACTGTATTAGTATACCCAGTAATGCTGGACTGGGTTTTTATGCAATGGGCAATTATGAGATCAATGTGGTTACATTTGCAATTTGAGGAGATTGGAGCAATTAGAGTAAGCTGTGGCTATTTCTGCAAATCAGTAGCGTTTTTTAATTGGGCCGAAAGTCATTTTGGGCCAACAACCTTGATTTTTTATTGGGCTAGTTTTTATGGAATTCTTAGTAGAATTTTTGTGATATCAATTTTGAGTACAATGCTCAATTTTGATAATAGGACGTATGTAGAAATCAATTTTTATTTCGTACATTTGTTAGGATCTCATGACACTTTGTTTGTTTTTTATATATATAAATAAAAACTAGCCCTAGGCTATGCCTAGTGGATTGCCAAAAAAAAAAACCCTAAACCCAAAAAAACCCAAAACCCGAGCTTAATTTTCTCTGCCTTCTCTCTAGAAAACAGGCGACTAGAGAGAGAAAGTCTGTTTTTGCTCGCTCATGGCCTCGCCGGCCGGCGGCCAGCCACCACCAGTGGCTGGGCAGCCTCCCCAACCACCCCCAACCACTACCCAGTCCCCCACAACAACCAATAACAGTCCGCAACCTATGAATTATGCTAATGCTGTGCGCCCAGTTACGAAAGCTACTGGCAGTCATGAACGAAATCCTAATATTGAGCCTATTACGTTACGTCGTGCACAATTCTTTCAAGGCCAGCCTACAATCTGTTTTACAGAAGCAGAAGTTGAGCGTATGAATCAAATTGAAGGTTTACAATATGCAGTGGTTTGTAAGTTTTCTTATGGTTGGCCTGATCTTAATGAAATACGTCGCATTGTTCCTATTCAATGTGGTATTAAGGGTGAATGCAAAATTGGATATTTACGAGATAGGCATATTTTGATTAGACTCACATTGTGGCAAGATTTTGTAGACTTCTCATCCAAAGGAGTTTATTATATTAAAGATAAGTATGGTGAGGAATATCAGATGAGAACTCTTATCTACGATTCTAAATTCAAAGCAGGTGAGGAAACACCCAAGGTCATGGCTTGGATTTCTTTCCCTAATTTGCTGCCAACTTACTTTGTTAAAGAGTGTTTGTTTTCATTAGCATCAGCAGTTGGAAAACCATTGCATCTTGATCAAGCTACTGTAAATAAAACTAGGCCTAGTTGTGCTCGAGTGAAGGTCTTGATTGACCTTTTATCTGACCTGCCTAAGAAGGTACGCATGGACATTGTGAATGAAGATACTGGAGATATTAGAACTGAATGGGTAAACATAAACTATGACTATTTGCCAAAGTACTGTAAAGAATGCAAATTGCAGGGTCATGACATGTTTGAGTGCTGGAGGTTGCACCCTGAACTTATGGCAAATAGAACTGAGGAGAAACAACATACTACAGATACAGTATCCCAAGGTAACAAGTTTACTGCGCCTTTAATGATCCTATCAAGTGGTAAAGTGGTGGGAAACCAAGGTGCTCAATGGAAAGAAGTTAAGAAGAGAAGAGTACAAGGTAAAGAGAAGCAGATAGGTGATGTGACCACTAATGGAAAAACAATGGTTCCAGTTGATCAGCAGAAGGGAGGTATAACAGGCAAAGAAGAAATTAATAAAAGGAGTGTTCAAGCTATGGTTCCAGCTGATAAGAAAAGAGATCAGATGCAAACTGACAATAAATTTGCCATATTGGAAGTGGAGGAAAGTGATGACAATGCCAACAATCAATTGGCGTTGGTGGAGACTATGAATGCAGTACCTGTGTCAAAGGAAACAGGAATTTTAAATCCTGTAGCACCAGCATATATACCTACTTCTCCTGGGAATACAAAGAGAAGGAATGATGGGAAAAATAACACAAAAAATATGCCAGCTGTTAGTGTAAATCCAGCAGGAATCAACAAGCAAAAAGAGATGGAAGAGAATAAAAACAAAGTCAGCACAGATCAGAAGGTGAAGGAATCCACTGCAGCATGGGTACAAAAAGCTTTTAAAATCAATGAGGTTGCAATAAATACCTCAGTTCAAGAGGTACCATCTCAAGACAC